CAATATCTTAAAATAATTTTTAATATATCTAGCATATTAAAATATTTTTTAAATAATACTTGGTGGTGTAAAGTAATTTTTTGTGTATTGAACGTCCTAAAATATTATTTCAATCCTCAACATAAAAACTAATTTAACTTTTAATTTGATCTTAAATATAAAACTCTAATTCATTTTGTTTCTGATATTTATTCATTTTTTTAAAGAAACTCTTGTAGTAGTTATATATGTTAAAATTTTTATCAAATAGTAGTTTTAAGATAACAATTATTTATTATAAATAACTAACTTAACAAACTTTCTTAATTCACTCCAATAAGTTAATTAGCTCTTATATATGGACCAAATGTAGTATTTTCTGTAAAATTTCTTAGTATCTTAGTTTTTTTTTTGGGGTCAAATTAGTATCTTAAGTTTAGAGTTCCCATTGTTACTGGAAAAATACTTTAGGAGAAAAATTAGACCAAATTACTTTTAAATTCTGGGCGTTACTAAAAGCTATTTTAGAGTTTTAAATGCATAAAAATTACTTTATAATATTGATTACTTCTTGTAAAATATTTTAAAATTCTAAATACACAAAAAATTACTTTAAGCTACTAAGTACTATTTAAAAAATACTTCAAGATGCTAGCTATATTGAAAATTATTTTAAGATTTTGAGTACTACTAAAAAGTATTTTGGGAGATTACTTAACGCAAATTTTTTTAATCAGTTAATTTTTTAAAATTCTTTGTGATTTTATAAAAATTTGAACCTGTGCAAAGAGTCACTGTTGACAATTTTTAATAACTATTTATATTATAATACGCATCACCGCCTCATTTCCGGGACACCGGGCGCCTCATTTCATCGTTGGGCCATTTATTCCCTCGCGTACGGTGTCGTTTCTTGGCAGCGGACAGGCAGCGGAGGGAAAAGGTAAAGGAGAGAAGCTGAATCCCATTTTTCCTGATGTCTGAAAGTAAACTCAATCTTATTAAGAATGACCAGTTTGAAACTTCAAACTGCATGATTTTAAATGCAGCATCTAGATAAATATTTTTGATTGGATGGGATCCGGGGAACTTTTTTCACTGTTTGCAGTATGAGTGAAAAAGCCCGTACAAGGTACAAATTTGTGATTGAGAGATCTACGGCAGCAAGAAAGGGAGAAGACAACACAAAACAAACCGATTTTGATTGAGCTGGCAGGAACGAGGGGCCATAAGTATATACTACCTCGAGAAGGTAGTATTTATTTACTAATTAAATAGGTATTTATATATTTCCTTCTTTTAAATCCACAGTTGGAAAAAAAATCAATTATAAGATACAAAGCCAAAAAGAGAATTTCGCCAAAAAAAAATCTACTCGTATCAAGTACTATCTCCGGTTCTAATTATAAAACTTTGTTTGTTGTCTGTAAATCAGGTCTTATCATTAAGATCAGAGGTAGTACTTAAAACCCTACCTATAAAAAAAAAAAATCCCTCAAGAGACCATGCTTGCGACCTCTGAAAAGTGGATGCAACCACTTCAATTTCACAACAAAATACTACTCATACTAAGACCTTATTTGACTTAGCGTTTGAAATCACTTATAAGCATATTTTACATAAGTCGAGATAAAATTTTTCTCACATAGTTGTCTTGTATTTTGTTAATATTAAAAAACTACTTATAAATCATTCTAAACAAACCTTAATTATTTTAAAGCTCAACTCACTATTTGAAGAAGTGCCTTTGCATGAATTATAACTCGATCCTCTAAGAACTCATCCAACTAGATCCAATCTGTTTTATGCTTTTGCCTGGACTCGAAACATAATGCTTTCATGAATTCTCTGTAACGACTCTCAAGTCTTAACTAAATCTAAGGAGTTGCACCCAACGCTTAAAGAATTAACTGCAGATAAACAGTAATTATGCAGTAAATTTGAAAATGGTTTACCAAGACTAAACTCATGTGAAATGAGTCGACATCATAAATTTTTACGTTGATTGTCAACTTTACTTCCTAGGAAAAAGTAAATCAAATTTTTGTGGATCCATCTTAAAAGTGAGATTTTATTTTTAACTTTTCTTATTTTTCTTTAATGACTCCCTATCACTTTTCCTAAACCGAAGGCGAATCACCGTTCAATCCCATCATAAATGAGATTTTATCTTATTACCATTTATTGTTACAAGGATATTTTTACTTGATTTTTCTTATTTATTTACCATAAAGGGTGGTTTTCAAACTTGACTTTCAAAGAAGAATCAAAGGATTTTTCTTCTATTATCTTTTTGTTATTTTTTATTTGTTATTTTTATTATTTATTTGTGAGCCCATCAAGATAGGGTGTTAACCATAATTCTCTATTTTTACATAAAATTGAATTAATATATTCACTGTCTGAATCATTTTTCATATAAAGAGGAAATAAATCTAATTTTTATATAACACTAGTTTAAAATAAATTAAATTAGTGTTGAAATTTAACACACGAATGCAATTTTATTTTAGATATATTGGTTAAAAGAATTAAATAATTTTGACTGAATGGTACTTATCACAGAGAAAGTTAATTTCATTTACGGAAAGGAATTTGTTAAACAGAAGTATCAAACAAAACATATCAAATTTAACACACAAATTGAATAAATGATACATGTTATGAAATGACAAAGAAAGTATAATAGAGATGAGATGAAGTCAAGAAATGAGAGAATTATATTGTATTCCTTCACTTGCTTCATTTCCATTACAACACAATGATATGCCATATTTATAGACATAGTCTTATATATAAGTTACACTTACACTTAATGATAGATAGTGGATAATCAACTATATGAATGTGAGTAGGAGATGCGTTCTAAAGCTACTTGCACAGTTAAGACATGTCAAGGTTTTTATTGGTTTGAGGTTGAACAAACAACTTGTCTTGTTAGGCGTAATTTACTAAGATAACGTGATGTGCGCTTTTATCAAATCAGTTGGTGAACTTATAATTTTTGTAGTGTTGAATGATTTGAAGCTTTAACTCTGCCATCTGCCTACTGATTATTTATTGGGGTGTGAAGGGATGATATATTAACTTGTAATCATGCTTGTTTTATTCTTCTTCTTTTTGTTTTAAAAGATTTTATTTTATTTTTATATGTTTTGTTGATTTTGCAGGCATGCTTGAACAAAAAGGAGTGTGTCATAAAATTGAGTGAAGAGAATTTCAAGAACAACTTGTGTTCTTCTGGGTTAACTAGGAAACTGGCAGTGGAGACAGTGTGCAGCTAATACTAAGAATTCTGAAGAGCTATTGCATTACACCATTTGTTGAACCCTAGTTGAACAAGAGATGCAACTACAAGAGGGTTTTGCCTATCTTGTCAGCAATTTAGACTCTTCCCTCTTTTCCCCAATTATTAATAATAATTTTGGTTCTTGTTGCGAGAAGGAAACGAGTAAAGTTCTTCTCGGATATTGAATCGTGCTAGGTTATGATTCATAATTGGACTATCTCGTCGGGATTAAATCTAGATTGGTGTTTTTTAAAAATAAAAATAAAAATATGAAAATATATCATGAAAAATAGTTTTGCTTACCAAGACTAAACTCATCTCATGTGAAATGAGTTGACATCATAAATTTTTATATTGATTGTCAACTTTTCTTCTAAGTAAAAAGTAAATCAATTTTTGTGGACCCATCTTAAGTGAGATTTTATTTTTAATTTTTATTTTTTTTAATGACTCCCTATCACTCTTCCTAAACCGGAGATGAATCATCGTTCAATCCCATCATAAATAAGATTTTCTCTTATTGCCATTTATTGCGACAAGGATATTTTTACTTGATTTTTTTTATTTATTTACCATAAAAGGAAGTTTTTAAACCTGACTTTTAAGGAAGAATCAAGGAATATTTTTCTTCTATTATCTTTTTTGTTATTTTTTATTTATTAGATTTATTATTTATCTGTGAGCCCCAGCAAAATGGGGTGTACATGTTAACTATCATTCTCTATTTTTACATAAAATTGAATTAATATCTTCGCTGCCTGAATCATTTTTAATATAAAGAGGAAATAAATCTAATTTTTATATAATGCTAACTTAAAATAAATTACATTAGTGTTGAATTTAACACGTGACTGCAATTTTATTTTAGATATATTGGTTAAAAGAATTAAATAATTTTGACTGAATGGTACTTATCACAGAGGAAGTTAATTTAATTTACAAAAAATAATTTGTTAAATAGAAATATCAAATTTAATTAATCTATACTAAATATATAAATGATTCGTTAAACAGAAATAAATATAAAGCTGACCCAAAGCAAGAGACCAGAAACCCAAGGCCGTGAATGATCTTAGCAGCATTCCCCTGGGGTGGTAAAGAATTGCTCAATTATTTATTTATGAATTATTTTGAATAGCAATTCAAACTCTATATTATTTTGTTTTTTGCATTTAGAATTAAAATTTCAAAATAAAATGAAAATATTAAATTGCAAGAAAACAATCGGAATCTCTTATGGATAAGCTGAATCAAAATATGAAATACAAATTGAAAATATTGGTACTCTGTCAAGATATTTGAGACTATTATATAATCTGAATAATCTGAAATACTGAATTTCCTAAGAAGTCCGATAACCTACATATTTTATATTTTATCTGTTAATATATAAACTTAAAATACCAATCTTCTGATAAACCTTTGGCTTATCTGCGGCATACAACAAGGTTTGTTTCAATATAAAAAATTGTTAAGAGCATACGATTAATCGAAATTAGAAATAGATCTTTTACTGTTTCAGTATATTATTCTCACCGGTAGCATCTAAAAGTACTAAACAATGAGACGTGCATAGTTTATTATTCTTGACATGAGAAGTAGAATCATTTGCATACATATCGTTTTCCAAACAAGGAGGTTGTTCACCAAAGTTTCTGATCAATGACGGTGGATGGCAAGATACAGTCAATGAGTTCCACAAAGAAGGCCAACCATATATTGAAAGAAGTGATTATGCATCTCCGGACCAGATTTTTTTGAGGCTAGCACTGCCAAAGCCGCTAAATAATTTCTTGATGCATTGCTGGTGGTATTCCTCCGCCATGAAAAATCTTTTTGCTGGAAGAATCTCCGTCGCTATCTTTTTATTTACTTCTCTCTCTTTAGATTCCTTTAATTCCTTTGCTAAATCAGCCTGTGTTTCATTATAGTAGTATATCCCTGATCTATATTGTGTTTTCACAGCAATTCCCTACAATCAATATCAATAGTATAGAATTATAATTAATACAAAGTCAAGAGGTTCAAAAAATCAAGTCAATAAAGAAAATCTAGTGAAATCCAGTTATTTAAAAAAAATGACATTTTAGAACCAAAGAACTCAATCAAACTAACGAGAGAAACGCAGAAAGAGGAGAGTACTTCGTAATTGACGGGTGTGGAATCGTGGCAAGACCAAAAGCAGGAGAGAAGATCTGTGTAGGAACACACTTGTGGGTCAAACTGGACCCGAACAACCTCTACGTGGTTAGTGGTCCCAGAGTGTACCAACATGTAGTCCGGATCTGGAACATGACCTTGAGAGTATCCAACTTCGGTCTTAATGACACCAGCCAATCGTTGAAAGCGAGGCTCCGCTCCCCAAAAGGGACCAGCTCCGAATTGAGCAAACTTGTGGTTCGAGTTGTCAGGGGAATCTGAATCTGGATCCAAAGCAGAGTTGTGAGCAGTAGGAGTCATTGAGTTCAGAGTGATGGGAAAGGAGTGGTTTTGACGTTCCACAATATCATCACCGGACAATTTCTCCCATCCATTTGGTCCCACATAATAAACTGAAATCATATGGAAAGCTTATTTGTGCATTGTCAGTGGATAATAGTTAGTAATTAAACACACTGCTATTATTATGTGAGCTGGAAAGCTCGCACCCTACTAATTTCACAGAACAATAATTACAATCACGAGATTATAAGAATGAAGAAAGGGAAACATGAGCCGAAAGCATGTGCATGTATAAGTCCTTTTTTTTTTGGTTGCTGGGGCTTTTGAGCAGGGGGAATGTTAGGGAAGTCTGCATACCAATGAAAGTGGATCAAAGGAAGAGTAAGATAAAATACCGCTAGCATCTCCGCCAGCAGCCCCATCACGACATGTTGCATGATAAATTGCTCGTCGGGCCAATTCTGCAGCTTCATCAATTGACATGGAGTAGCAGTACCTAGAACCGAAAGAAACATGTTAACCAATTCAACAACAGAGCTGCATAGTTATGGTGAAAAGCTCAACTAACCCCCTGTCCACTTCACCATAAGCAGGCGGTGACCCGGATCCAACACAGAAACGGGTGCCCGTCATTGTTCCATACACCCTGTTGTCGACATGATAAAGACCAGGACCCTGAAAAATGTTCTTCCCTAGTCAGAGAAGTGATATTCTATGCTACTTCTTGTCCTAATTATAAGACCTCATTTACGGTCTATAAACAAGGACCGGAAGTAGTATTTAGCACCTAGAATATGTGATTTACCATCTCATCCCATCCCGCAATAATGGTCGCAACAGGTAACCCCATTTCACCATAGGAGTATGAAATTTGTGCAAGTAGTTCTGACGCTACTTCAATTGAAATCCTTCTCTTATTTTCCAATTCATACTGCCGGCACTAAAATAAAATGACTGAACTAAGAAAACTATTCATGAAAATACGTAAAACAAGGGCAAGACAGACAAATATAAAAAAGTTTAATATAAGATTGCATTCATTACCTTGTCATAGAGATCTCTTGCAACTCCTCCAGTAACTCCTCCAGACACAGTGACAAGCGTATATTGATTAATTTCGATAATTTTCTTCACAGGTTGAGATGCTGTAACACAAATGTTGAAATTATGAACTAAAATCATGTTCAAAAACAGACTCGTATCTAAATAAATAAATATGAGATATCAGTACCTACCTGAAGAACTTCCCATACAAACTGGAGAACCGGCAGCTACTATGATCCCCCCTTTAATAATAAGGGCAAGAATGGTAGCATCATCGGCGATCTTCACCATTTGAAAACAAAAAACAAAAAGACCTTCATAAATCTTTCCTTTGACGATAATCGCTACAAATCAATTGCATCCTCTTTACAAAGAAAAACTATAAGACGGACTACTAAAAGTTCGAGCTAATAATCAAGCACTCACGTCAATGGGAGTAAGAAGCCCCATAGTCTTTAAACAAGGCGTACTGGTTAGAAAGTTGTGACCGAGAGATCAGTGGCAGCGAGAAAGGGAGAAGACGACGCAGAGCAAACCGATTTTGATTGTGCTGGCGAGAACGAGGGCTATGAGTATATATTTCCTAATTAAATAGGTTTTTATATATTTCCTTCTTTTAAAAAATCAATTATAAGATACAAAATTAAAAGGAGAATTCGCAAAAAATATCTACTCGAATCTTCTTATTTTGCAGGAAATATAGAAGAATATATATATTTATAGTGATGAGATCGCAACGCATAAAATAAAATTATACTCGTATATATATATGGAGGAGATGTGCATTAAAAAGAAGTGAATAATCTTGGCAAGTGAAAGATTATGATTATAATAATATTATATCTGTTATCTATTCCCCATCAATCTATCTATATTTATAAGGTTAATATTATCTTTGGCCTCTAAAATTTAATCTGGTTTTGTTTTTAGTTCCTAAAATTGGAAAAACCTTATAGTTTTGTCCCATTTTGGATCAAGTCCCTAAACTTATTTTCTATTTTATGGGATCGTTAATGTTTTAACTGTTTCATCCATTAATCCTTCCGTTTGAAAAATGTTAAACTAGGGTTAAACGCCGTTGAAGATGCTTATATGGAGGACAAGTAAATTAGACGGGGTGACCCATCCTCTTTCATCACTGTAGAAAACTACCGCCATTGATTTCCAAGAACCTTCTTCTCCAAAGGTCATTACTTGCAGAGGGCAACTTCAAGTTTGACGCTCCTCCAAACATCATCATGCCTAATGGCGACGCTAGTCCCGCTAGATGCAGCCGATGCTACTGGTGGCTCTGGCGTGGTCTCTTTTGCCATTCGCTGCTAAAATCAAGCTCCCTTTCTGCCACTTCCACCACCAGCCTCTTTGATCAAACTGTAGATTTTGGAGTTAAAGATTTATGTTGGGATTTTCAGGTCATGAACCGTACTTGCTTCAGCCCCTCCTCCATTTTCTTAAGTTTCAAAAGCCATCCTTCTTATCCCTATAAATCCTTCGTCCATATCAAACTACTGCATCTCACCATTTGTGAGCTTTCATGTCTCCAACTGCTTTAAGTTGACAAAAAAAGGAACTTTTTTAAGAGACAAAAAGGACGACAAGGCTAGCTTGGTTATATATATCATAAGCTTGGCTATTGAGAAAATGAGGGATAATTCATTTTGAAGGGGCTTGAGATAGCCGCACAGTAGGAAAAGTACAGTTGGCTAGACTCTAAATCTATCAATTTATTAGCCTTAGTTCTTAAGTTCCAGGTCACTTTCATGCTCTAGAAACAAAAATTATGTGCATGTTTGTTTGAAGAAATGCAAATAAAGGGAGGTTTGGTGAGTTTAGAAGCTTATTGTTAATTGCATGAATAGCAGAGGCGGTAGAGAGAAGATGTGAGAGTCTAGGAAGGAGAGGTAGGATTTTAATGGGCATCCTTAAACATCAAATGTGTGTGACATTCAACCCGAATTCGAAGATGTCATCAACTTTTATTGGGAACTGGGCATCAATTTAGGAAATGTTTAGGAGGGTCAGCGAGTTGTTCACTACGACGCACCAGAAATCAATGCTACGTCTAATCCACTTGTCCTCTATATTAGCATCATCAACATCGTTTAATCCTAGTTTGATGTTTTTTGAACGGAAGGACTAATGAATCGAACGATTGAAGCATTAAGGATCCCATAAAATAGAAAATAACTTTAGGGATTTGATTCAAAATGGGACAAAACTAGGACCTGCATATTAGTTTTCCCAAGCTTTTTTGACCAGCATGTTTTCTTTCCGAAGCTGCACTCAACAACGACGGCAATAATAATTTATGAAAGATAATGTGACATAAATATCACATGAAATATGAAGCCTAACTGCACAAGGCTTTTCGAACCAAGAAATTATACACAAAATAGTCAAAATAATACGACTTAGCAACTGTACCATTTTGTTTCTCTGAAGGATCACCACGAAATTTATATGTTGTAAAGTTCACATATTTGTTCATAGTAGTGGTCGGTCAATAACAGATACAGTATTTGTTCATAACATAACAGTGTCCGTGTATTACTACTGTGAGTATCTTTGGCCTGGTCCGCCCATTAAATCATTAGTCTCATAACTAATCTCTTCAACGTGAAAAGACACAAATTATGATTGACTATTTCGGCTGTAAATGCCTTGGGCTACAATAAATAACTGTGCATAATACTACTGTAAACAGAAATAACCATGCATTATTAATTAATTTATTACTACGGGTTACTACCGTAAATGCCAGGGACTACAACTTCTATTGTAGCCTATTATTTTTATATATTGATATATCCTTTGGCAGACTACATTTGAGGCACCTGAGGGAGATAAGCCGATTGCCTTGGACCTTGGCTCCCTGGGAAAAGGTGAACCCTGGGTAAATGGCGAAAGCATCGGTCGTTATTGGATCTTGTTCCATGATACCAATGGCAACCCTTCTCAAGCACTGTGAGTTACTATATCCTTTCATTTTATACTAATACTATCTCCGGTTCTTAATATAAAATCTTATTTGATTTTTATTTTGATCCTAAATATAAGATCTCAATTCATTTTGTTTATTATATTTATCTATTTTTCTCAAGATAGTCTTTCTTATAATGGTATTCTAAACAATAAACTTTGATTAGTAAGGATATTTTAGAAAAGACAACATCTATTTATTACAAATAATTAACTTAACTTATTTTCTTAATATATTCAAATTAGTCAACTAATTCTTATATTTAAGACCGGAGGTAGTATATTCATATATTTAATTCCAATTTATGTCGCTTCCTTTGTTCTACTACTTCGTTTATGAAAGAAGAACACTGTGAGAAACACTAGGTCCAATATTTAATTAATGTTAATTAAATATGGACATTAATTATCACGGGTGTTGCGATAATTGATACTACAGGTCTCATGTGCCTCGGTCCTTTCTGAAAGCATCCGGAAACGTTCTGGTTGTAATGGAAGAAGGTGGTGGGAATCCTCTTGGTGTCTCCTTGAACACTGTTTCTGTCAAGACTACTTCACATGAACATTTTCCCAAATTATCTTTTCCTTCTGCTACTTAGTTTGTTAATTCTACGCAAACAGTTACAGCAAAACACACACTCATGGGCACACACAGAATCTTTCCTTTTTTTTGGGGGGGGGGGTTGCATACACACGCAAAAAAAAGAATTCAGCAATTACTTTTCCTGCTATTCTTTTTTTTTTTTGCAAATATTGTCATATAAATATTTTCTTTTTATATACTACTATAACATATAAAACAATGTACTATATAATATGAGAACATCAAATCCATTTTTTATTATTAATAATTAAATTAAATATCCAGATTACCTCCCCTATGCTATAATACGGTAGAACACAATGTGGCCAGAAAAAAACAAATGAAGAACGTGGGATGGCTGGGATCGCGTGAGGAGGGTAAATGGGGGTCAGGTTCTTAAACAACAGAGATACGCCGCACTACGCGGGAATTTAATGCAGGGCCTTTTCCTGGTATCGTGCGACGTGCGAGAGATAATAACAAAAATAAAAAATATCAATTAAAAGTAGAAGCATCATGTGCATAAATATATCATATTCTCCAATTACACATGATCATATGTCTTTTTTTTTTTTATTTTATGTGAATTTATAATTAAATATTATTAAATACTAACATTAAAAAATAATAAAACATGGTCACGGATGATTGGACAATTTGACATAATAAATAAAAAAAATTTGATATAAATATTGTCTTATATATATGATGTTAGGTTTAGCTAAAAGAATTAATTCCTAGTAATGTGATGAATTAAATTTTAAATTTTATTAAAAATATGTTTATATTTAATACTCTATATATAGTATCACGAACATATCTTTAGTAGTAAGAGAACAGGTGGGGCCAAAAAAAAAAAAAGAACTTCTAGGATTAGATGAATGAATGAGGGCTGGTAACGGGCCAACCTGCAGGTTGCAGGTTAGCCCGTGATGAGCCGCAGGCTACACGGTGCGGCTTAAAAAGCCTTTTTTTTACGAGTTGGCAGAATTCACTAACCTGTCAGAATTTATATTTTCTTTTCTTTCTTACATTTATGACTGAAAATAGTGTAGTATGACTGAAAATACTCCTTCACGTCTTGGTCAAGGAAAAAACGAGATGTATTAGTGATATTTTTCCTAACCCACTACTTCACGTCTTGGTCAAGGGAAAAACAAGATGTATTACATATTGATATAACTTAATTTATTTAATAACATATAACTTGAAATACTTAATTTTTCTAAACTAATCTGTATAACTTATAAATTAATATATAATATGATGTTTTTAAAAATATTATTTCTAATTTATTAAAAATTAAGAAATTGTTTAATTATTAATAACTTTGGCAAAAAAATCTATATAACTACTCCTTCCTATCCTAAATATAAAAACTAGTTTGTAGTGTAAATTATGCTACAAACTAGATCTTACATTTATGACTGAAAATAGTGTATTATGACTGAAAATACTCCTTCACGTCTTGGTCAAGGTAAAAACAAGATGTGTTGGTGATATTTTTCCCAACCCACTCCTTCACGTCTTGGTCAAGGAAAAAAACGAGATGTATTGCATATTGATATAACTTAATTTATTTAATAATATATAACTTGAAATATTTAACTTTTCTAAACTAATTTGTATAACTTATAAATTAATATATAATATAATGTTTTTAAAATATTATTTCTAATTTATTAAAAATTAAGAAATTTTTTAATTATTAATAATTTTGGCAAAAAAATCTATATAACTACTCCTTCCTATCCTAAATATAAAAACTAATTTGTAGTGTAAATTAAACTATAAACTTGACCTTACATTTATGACTGAAAATAGTGTATTATGGGCCAATTTAAAATGATTTATAGTTAACTTTTTAATTATGATTTACTAAATATAA